AGTGGCAATCTTAATTAAGAGTGTTTCTGTGGCAACTAATTTGCAGGAACAAGTCTTTATTTTGACTCCATTTATTTCTGCATAAAAGCCCAAAAATATGCCACAGAAATAGAGTAAACCTCCCTCCCTTTTAACCCCCGGAAGCGCCTCTTAGACACACATCAATCGGACAGATATCAGACTTCCGTTTCGGGGTTTTATGGGGTTTTTGCTATTTATCGGTTGATGATTTTTCGAAGTTCATTCGACGCTGCGTTTGCTGGTACACTGGAAACCATAAAGAATATTTATGGTCATCAACTGGCTTTACGGTCTTTATTGACTTTTATTTGGCAACGAGTCAGTGGCCCTCTTGCCCCACACAAACACACACCCACACGCACACGCACACGCACATCCCGTACAGTTGTACAGTGAAGACTCTCGTGAGGCGACAGGTTCTTAGTGTATAAATTGAATTTATAGTGGAATAAAAACCCGAACATTCGGGGAATTTCAATTAAATATTGCGATTTTAATTACGAAATTAATTTAAATTTAATTTAAAATTTTTTAAATTTAATTTTTTACATTTTAAATGTTTTAAAATTGAAATTAAATTAAATATTTATTAAATAAATTTAATTCAGATATGAAAAATATATATTTATTGCGAGTTTAAATACGAAACTAAATTCATTTAATTTTAATTTAGTTTTTTAAACATTTTAAATGTATTAAAATTGTTTAAATGTATTAAATATTTAATCTAAATATAAAACACTTTAAATAAAATTTTTAGGAAATATATTTAATTCAGATATGAAAAATATATATTTATTGCGAGTTTAAATACGAAATTAAATTCATTTAATTTTAATTTAGTTTTTTAAACATTTTAAATGTATTAAAATTGTTTAAATGTATTAAATATTTAATCTAAATATAAAACGCTTTAAATTAAAATATTTTCAATTAAATTTTTAGGAAATATATTTAATTTAAATAAGAAATATATTTTTTTTAAATATTAAATACATACATATGTACAATCTTTGTGAAAATAAATTAAATATATTCATTTTATTTTGCTTAAAAAAAAAGTATTCAAAATTTTGTTTTGCCTCATATTTAATTTTTTTTTGCCCATAATTAATACATTTTTAATATAGATTTAATGTACATTAAAATAAATATTTTATATTCAATTTATAGGAAATATATTTATTTTAAATATAAAATATATTTATTTTAATCATGAAATATATATAAAGCCCTTACGGGAATACCTCTACCAATATTTCTGTGCTCTTCTTTCTATCTATCTTTAGCCAAGTAAGTGGCTGTCCATCAAAGTGGGCCTTCACTGTACAGTACAGCACAGAGTGGCATACAGGGGCTGACCTAAAATATTTCCCCTTTGCCAGGCACAAATCCCGATTCACTGAAGCCAGAAAATCTGCATAAGGCAATTGAAGAGAATCCAAAGACGAAGGAGAAGGCGAAGAAGGCGATGAGGGAGAAAGGCAAATAAGTATAAAGAGAATAAGAGAATGTGGAAGAAGAAAAAATGCCAACTAATGTCACTTAGTGGATGTCAAAGGAGGTGGCCCGAAGGAGGGTGGGGAAGGAGCCGGCCGGAGCTTCTTGGCGTTTGTGAAATTCGAGAACAATTTAGAAACAGTTTTCAAACAGCTCGCGGGCACTGCCGCCCTCCCCCCTGCCCGCTCCCCAACGAATGCCAAATGAGTTGGACACGAGATTCATTTCCTCTAAGCCCCGCACTGCCCCTCCCCAGCCAGCGACTGCTCTCTATTTGGGGGGGGGGGAGAGACGGATGGAGGCAGCCACCCCTCGCGGCAGATCTGCAATCTGCAGCAATCCCTTTCTTGGCCTGTCCGGCACGTGCCGTCAATAAAGCTGCAAATCGCATAAACGGTCTGAGCCGCTTACACGTCATAAGTGCGAATAGAGAGAGAGAGAGAGAGAGAGGGGGCTTTCAGTGTGTGTGTGGGTGAGCCTAGGCCCTATATAAAGTTACGATGCCTGCCTCCTGCCTCCTGCAAGTATCTATGTATCTTTTGCTCTCTGGCACTCGTCTGTATATATTTACTGCTGCTTGTCTGGTTATTGGCATCTTTAGGCACTGAAATTGTTGCTCCATAATCAATTCAGGGAAAACATTTTGGGGGCAGGGCAGCCACTACGCACCTAAGACTCTTGTCTATTTTCGTTGAATAACAATACAAATTTAACAGTGTAAAACAATACAATTTAAGCCCTTGGAAAGTGCACTTTAAACGAAAGTAAGATACTTATTGAAACGAATGTGAGTGCTACTTGTGGCAACCATAAATCAACGAGAATTCAACATTTTCTTAAATTTATTTTAGCATTTGATTGGATTTTGCAATAGAAACAATGAAATTCCCCCAAGAGCAGGGGGGGGGGTTCACACGGAAACTCCGATTCTGATTTGTACAGAAAATAATTAAGTGAAAAGCTGGGAAAAACCAATGAACCAATGCTGAAACGCACACAGCACTGAAAGCTAATTCTTTTCCCAATTTCCCAGACCCCCCCCCCTCCCTCCCGCAAAGCAGTGGGAATCGAAACGAAACGAAACGCAATGAAAAGCGAACCGCAACAAACTGTTTTTGGAGCCAAAATGGCGAGAGGGGAGAGAGTGGGGGGGGGGGGGGGGGGGGGGGCAAGTTGTTTGGTGTGAGTTTTGGTCTAAAATGCAATTGCAATTTCGCATTTGCACTGAAAACGCATACGATGCCACACTCGAAAATCCAAATGAAACTCAAAGCAAACGAAAAATAAACCAAAAAAAACCAAAAAAAAAAGAACCTGGATAGTGTGGAATCCCTTAGGGCTTTGGGGGAGTGCAGATATAGATATACGTCCTTAGTCCTTGATGGACAACAAAATGAATGTTGATTGAGTTTCTCCCATTTTCCAGCAGGTACACTTTTTTGGTTCTTCTTCCTTCTGGTAATTGGAACCAAAAATATGAACAGAACAGTCCTCTCCAGGCAGGGGAAAAATTGCCTTAATTAAAGGAATCAACTCAGCAAAAAGCAAAAGTCTCCAAGTAGCAAAGTCAATAAAAAATTGCACATAAATTGCACAAATTGCAAGAAGCAAGTGAGTATCTGTGGCAGGATGCAGTCAGGCATAAACTGGGGGAAAAACTCTTAAAATAATGCCACTTCTTTTAGTTATAGAACCCCCTCTACGTCTGGGTGGAGGAGGGGGATATGTAAAGTTAATAAAAGCCAGAGAGAAACGTGAGAAAATCAAGACATTGCCACCTTTGTTGGGGGTGGCAGGCGAGTCCTGGCTGCCTGCACACACAGGAATTGCCGCTAAAAATTCCCTTAGCTCTCTCCATATGCTATTGGCCTCAGAAACGAGGCTATTTAAGGCTGCTCGTAAGCTTCTCGTAACGCATGCATCCGCTCGTCTATGGGAACTTTTAACACAGGAAGTCCTTTTGAGCCTTTGAGTGCCCAACTGCTGCACAGAAGTGCGAATAAGCCGAAGGCTGAACGCTGAAAGCCGACAAAAGATGGTTGAGAGCCGACGTCCAGTCACAGATTAACTCTGACCCCAAAAAACACACAGAAGCCGTGCCTGGCTGGTTAATTGGGAAAAACAACAACTTTTCCATTCCACAAAGGATGTCCTTTCTGTGGGGGAGTGGGGCACTTGGCTTCCTGCACATGTGGGCTCCTCTCGCTTTCAATCGAGTGCGTGTACGAGTAGAAGGTGTAGTGGCAAGCCGTCCCCTGCGTGTGGCATTAACAATCTGAACAACACTTTGACGTACCCCCGAATGTAGTCCTCCGCCTGTGGCTCTGCGACGCTTTGGAGTACAGAACCCGAGCATATCTTAGTCGCTAATGTATATAGAAATATCTTCAAATGTCGCTGCATTCCGAGGCAGTCAACTGCAGGAGCAGGACACTCATTTCCCCGGCGAATGTCTTCACTTTTCAAGTGCTTTTTCCATAAAATATTAATTGCTTGAGTGTTAAATGCCACAGCACTCAGCGTAATGAACGAAGGGAGTATCTATGAAGTGCTGCTGTCGAAGCGGGCGGGCAAAAATCAATTTTAAATTAGAGCAAAATGAGCTCATGTCACCCATAAACACGTGGCCATCGGGTGATTCCCGCACGACACAAAAAGGTCATTCCAGACAGTGGCTCCTCCTCCACCTTTCGAGCGGTGCCTGTGGGGGGCGAGGGAGAGAGAGGAGAGTGTGTTATGGAATCGAGTTACCTGCCAAAAGAAGCCTCAACAAAGCACAGCACACGCCTCCCACCTGTCCCCTTCGTTGAGTGAGGAGAGGGGGGGGGGGGGGGGGGGGGAGGACATGGTAGTCCTTGCCTGCGCTGATATTGTAGTGCTGTGCGGTGCGGTGTGGCACAATCGAGTAAACAACAATAAAGCGAAGACAAACAAAAGAGTAACAAAAGGCCAGGACCACGTCGAGGCCCCTCGCCCCTCCCCGTCGCACAGTGGCACAGAAATATGGAAGGACATGATGATGAACGACGCGTTGCTAGACAATTTTTCAATTTGAATGGCAACTCCCCTCGCCCCCACCCCCCCACAGTCGCCCCCCCATCGGTCCCCAATGGATAGGGCCCAAAGTCATGGGCCCAAAAACGAACAAAAATAGTCATCCTTTTCGGATTGCGAATTGAGTTTTTCGCATTTTCTGTGTGCAGTTTTTCAGTATTCCATTTTCCTGTAGAGGAATTGGCATCGATAGATGCAACCTGCAATTTGCCGCCTGACTACACCAGACGTACTCCCCCCCATCCCCACACCCCCCTCGGTGGAGATACAGAGAGATTAAAGACCAAGCCTACCCCTTGGGGTGCGATTTTTAATTGCAGAGAAATCGAAAACAGTTTGACAGCAGGCAGCCTGGAGCCTGGGATGCCCCTCAATGTCCAGATCGATGGGGGGGAGGTAAAATTGTTGAAGAGAAATTCACTTACCGCTTGCCCTTGAAGGCCAACAGGTACTTCTTGTTGGCCGGAAAATTGTTGGACTGCACTGAGCCGGTGGCGCCGGCCCTCAGGGGGAACTGCTTGTGGAAGAGCGGAATGCTGACATCGAAGCCGTGTCGCACCTGGAGGACGCTCATGCTGGCCTTGGCCAGAATGGCGTGGCCCGCATCGAAGCCGAGCGAATTTTCCGCATAGTCCGGCCAGGTGCCCGAATACAGATTGAAGATGATGTGATTCCGGCCGTTGTTCCAGTGCGGCAGGCGGGCCAACCGGGACGGGACATTGCGCACATAGTCCTCGGAGAGGGAGTCCCTGTCCAGGGTGTCCATGCCGAGCACAAAGAGGCAGGCGGCCGAGGGATCGCTGGTGTGGTAGCGCGACTCCTGTATGGCAGTGAGTATCTTCTGGTAGTTGGCCGACGTGGGCGGGGCAGCGCCCAGCGAATTCAACGGCTCCGGCGGGTAGACGTACACCAGGAACTGTTCGTAGCAGCGGGTAAAGTCGAAGCAGGTCTCCATCCGGCACTCCGATCCTCGACTGCGCCGCGAGTCGTTGTGTCCCAGGGCGCCCAGTGCCCCAGCAGATCCGTTGAGATGGCCCAGTGGCCCCAGAGGATCCGCCTGGTCCAGGAAGCTGGGCAGCTGCTCGTAGGGCGGTTGCACGCCCCCATCCTTGGCCGATTCGTGCTGGGCGCGACGTGGCCGCAGCGGCGACACTTTCAGCCGATAGCCACCGAAGTAGGCGTAGGCCAGGAAGGCGCAGCTGACGAACACGAGAATATAACGCTTTTTGGCCTGCATTCTCCCCCTTTTTATATTTGGTTAACCGCTAGTCACGTTTTTGCTTTAGATTTGATTATTTTTTTGTGAAGGGGAATGGTCTACCGTTGTTTCTCGTGTGCACCAGTGAGTGGGAGAGAGAGAGTGACAGAGAGAGCGTGTGGAGGTGTCTTACGGTTCAAGTGCGGCAACAACAACAATAACAAGTCTCTCTTAGGCCACACGCATTTTTACCGTTTCTACTACTATTTCTCTTTTTTGCTGCTCTTTTGCTTAGTGTTTTTTGTTGCCTGGCTGGCTGCCTGCCGCCCCCTGCTGATAACACTTTTGCCTACAAACAGATCTTGATCATCTCCCCGAACTACATGCGTGTGTATGTTTGTTGTTGTTTCCAATGCAAAGGTTATATTATTATAATCTTTATATGATTATTCATTTCCTGGCGCGGACCAGAAGCCACGGCGTGGGGCAGCAGCAGGGCAGCGGTGGGGTGTAGACGCCGGCGGGCAGCAGCAGTGGGCAGGGGCTGGGACTGTGACTGTGACTGGAGCATGGGACGACGACGGGGGAACGGGGGCGCGACGACGGCGACGGCACTTCTCGCGGTCTCCCAGCGACAACATATCCGCGACATTTACACACACACATTAACACACGCGGACATTTCTATTGCATTTTTTTGCATTATTGCCGGGTATTTATATTTTTTGTTTTATAAACTTAATGTTTATAACACACACACACACAAAACATTTTTTATGCTCGTCTTGTTATCGTGACCAGTGTGCCCACGGATGTTCCGATGAAATATACCGTCTGAAAAATACCAAAATAGCGTCTCATTTTCAAAATATACCGTAAATATACTGACGAATTATTCGAGTTTTATCATATTCCTCGTTTTGGAAATTCTGTCGAATATTACTAGCTAGATAGAACCCTCAGCTCTGACCACATAATTTGGTCCGGTTAATGAATCAATTCTCTATTTTAAATACTCCCTTGTGTGCAAAACAAGGTTTTGAGTATGGAATGCTGCTTACATGTTGCTGGTATTTGAAGACTTGTTGCTTGCCAAATGGAGTATGGGCATTTATATACCCTTTTCGTACATTTTTAATTAAAATATTGTTCTTCAGCCAGCTTTTAATCGTAATTAATAATGTCTTTTACCCAGATTCTCATTCTTTGGACATATTATTGCATTTGATCTGTTTTCTGTATATATCTCGATCCCGATATCTCTACTTGGTCTCTGTAAGAAAGCCATAAACTGCAAAATTTGGTGAAAGTAGCTTTCAAAAAGAGACTGAATAGTTTCTGCAATTATTTTTGCTTTTCAGAACTCTATAATATCCTTTTCCCCCAGGGTATGCAGAATGTTGCCCATGTTTCGGGACATGCTGCTCTGGGGCACATGAGTCTGGCCCATACAAATTGAATTTTCCAGCGGCTGTGCTGTGAATAAAGATCCTCGACAAAGAGAGTCTTAACAAATTTCGCTAGAGTTTGAGCGCCAAATAGAAATAGTTTGAAAGTGAATAAAAAAAATGCAATCCACTGGAATAATAGATGCACGGAAGTTCGATTTGAGGGAGTTAAAATTCAAAAAACCTGCATACCCTATGTTCTCTAATATATCTTTAAAAATGAAACTTTATAGATTGATCACATTGTCGAAATATACCGATATACAGTAAATATACCGTCAGCTCAATTTTGACGTCAAAATATGCCGTAAAGTATATAAATTAACACACACCATACATTTTTATGCTCGATCAAGCCTTCGCACGCGCTTGGTACAATTTAGGGCATTTTATGTGAATGTTATGTTAACATTTAACATTATGTTGTGAAATGAACGCGCGTTAATTTTTGAAATTCAACACATTTTTGGCGCAAACACAACAAAAGAGTGCCATAAACTTCCTTTCGATTATCAAGCGACAAAAGTGATTATCTGCGTGTTTCCACTAGTTCTAAGCAGCTGCAGCTGTTTGATCGCGTTTCGTGCGCGCTGCACTGATAACAATGCACAATAAATGCAGGTGATGCAATGGCCGCGCGAATGTGAATGCGTTTTGATAGCTCGGCTGGTACTGACGGACTTCCTTTGGCCAACTTGGCCAGCCAACTTCATTGGAAATGTCCAAAAACAACGCTTGGACTCTTTTGTGGAAAGCCTTCGCATGCGCATTAAATGCGCGGACGGCCGTCCGCGGGAAAATCTGCCCCACAAATCCAATTGAGATGGCAGTGTTTCGATAAATCGCGACAGCTGATCGCTCGCAGATGTGCGCGCGCAATTCAAATTTGAATTTTCAAATGCATTTATCATTTCTGTTTGTCTGGTGGGAGAGCAAAAAAGGGCCATATTCCATCCCCAAGCGTATAATAGCATAATATGTTCACGAGACGTAATTACCAATATAATAATTGTGGCATTCAACCTGCTGTTGCAGCTTCGTAAAAATAATTGTTATTTGCTTTGAAATTAATTACATTGGCGAATGCTGCCGCTGGGAATTGTGCTTATTCGGTTATTAATTATTGGCCAAAAACTCATTTGAATGCAACGGGCAGGCCTGAAGGTGGCATGCAACATGCCATTTGAAGCAGGCGCGTTATGAAATAATATTTATTAAAATAAATGCAAATAAACTGTTATTTGTTTTGTGTCTTCTCTATATTGTTGTTGTTGTTGTTGTTGGTTCGTTGTGGAAACTGTCGCATCCGCATCCTTGTGTGTCCGTCGCCCGGCCATTGGTTGCGCTCTCTGCGCGCAATTTCCGAGCCACAAACGCGTTTAGGCTGGAATTTCAATTATGCACAGGAATGCCCTGCTGCCTGCCCCTCTGTTGGCCTCCTTCTTTTTACTTCCGGTGTGCTTCCTGCGGCATGGCCGCAATTATGATGCCCCTTCGCAGATAAAACATCCGCCCCAACCACCCTCACAAAAAAGTGAAATATGTCAGGCGGCAGCTGTGACCAAAAAAAGGGGAGTTCCACGTACCCCCTGGCATTCCCAGCCGCCTTTCATGGCTTTATAAGGAGCTCCCAAGGCGCCTCACATGCAAATCAAATCAGCGAAAAGCCAATAAAAGAGCTCTACACGGAGGAAAAGGATGCTAGAAATCTGAAATATAATAAAACTCCCAATGAAATTCATGAAATTTATTAGATTCAGAGCAACTTGTTTGTGCAGTGCAGAGAAGTGAGGGAACACGAAGGAGTATGTCACAGGATAAAGGACTTTAACTGGAGGCACAGGGAGGCACAGGCCTTCCTTTCTCGTCGGCGTAGAATTTAATTTTGAAAGATAAAATGTACAAACGGGATGGAAAGGAGGAGGGTCTTTAGGTATTTATAAAGTTTCAGTAATTTAATTAATAGTGCAAATATTTGTACGCTTTTACTTCATTTGATTAAAGACCTCCACCCATTTAATTCGTCCACACAAATACCATATCCTCTGGTCCTTTCCAGGCTAAAACATGCCAAATGCAGCTCTGGCTGTGGTCCTGGCGCTCTGGCGCCACCGCTTGATGGTCATGCAGTTCGTTTCCGTTTCCGGTGCGCCTCTAATTAATTGGGGCGTCAGTCCAGCCACGCCTCATGGCCCCTGGCTAAAGGCCATCTCCGCCCTGCTACTACCCTGCAGCTCTTGGGATTTCTTTCCCTATTTTTTTATACATAATTTTTTTTTTCTGGTAAATCACGGATTACGGCCCGCCCCACCCACTCATTCAATGTTAATCAATCATGCACACGCCTCATCCATAATTTTGGCCCTGTTTCCGACTTTTAAGGCTTTCAGGCAGCTGGGACTTTCACTTCTTTGGGTGCCTCCCCAACAAATCCCCCTCTCTCTCTCTCTCTAGCTCTATATCTGTCTTGCCTGTCTCTTTCTGATGCGATGAAAACTTTGATGATTTGTTGTTTGTTGGCTGCTAATAAACCAATTTTCGATTCACTTTGACCAAAGGTGCCGTGGCCCCATGTCCACACTTTCCGATGCCACAGGCTTTATTACTTACTCGAATCTCGAATATATGAACTTTGTTTAGGAAGTTTATAAAAAACTGCTCGTACAATCTACACACACACTCCCTCTCCCTCTCTCTAACTCTCTCTCTCCCTCTCTCTGTTTAAGTTCTCCTACTTGCTCCTGGTCTTGCTTCTCTGGCAGTGCAGCTCCTTGGCTTCTAGTGGTTCACCAACACCAACACCAACAACAGCAACAATAAATTCATTAGCTCGGAGACAATGTAGGAGAGGGGGTAGGGTGTAGGGAGTGGTGTAGTGGAAGCTTACGGAATTCCTGTTTGCCATTGCCTCTCTCTTCCACCTAGCATCATCATTTCGTCAAAGCTCTTTTTCGCCTCAAATCGAATGCCCACCCAACATACGAGTATATTCCAGAAAAGGTAAGGCACTCGCACTCTTCGGGGTAGGATATCCGCCGGCTATAGGTATCTTTCGAACTGTTTCTCGCTATGATTCCAGACTACCTTACCTGCCATTTGATATACTTTTCGTACACCCATTCACCCACTCGACTATCTTCCCCCCTCCACTCCACCCCTCATTTGAAGTGCTTGCTAAATTTATGACGTCAGTCTCAGCGGGTAAAGGATGAAGGGTGGGACTTTATTACATATTATTATGTTGTTGCAAGAAGACAGACGAAGCTGGGGGCCCTTTGTCAAGGGGAATTATATTATATTACGGTAGGTATTCCTCCAAGACATTTATTATGCATTTTACTAGGTATTTTAGAAAAAATAAATACTAATAGGATCTAAAATACGATGCTCCAAGAATAGAATCCGCTTTGAATAAGGAGATATTTAAATTGCTTCATTGTTTATTTTGAATATTCCTAGTGCTACAAACTTGTACGCCATAACTAATGCACAAGTCAATAAAAGATTTTAATACGGTATTTAAATAAATTAAATATTTTATTAAGCTATTATTGGTTTTTTTTAAATAATATATTATTGGTATAATATTTTTTTTAGCTCAATTCTATACATTTACAAATATTTTATTGATTTAATTTTAGTTAAAGAAAAAATTCTATCCAAAAAACTCCATCACTTATTTAATAGAAAAATGGATACCTAAATGCCAGTGATAAAAACATCAACTAAATAATTTTGAACCTTCGGAGAAAGATGGAACAGCAAAAATTCACCAGATGACAAATTAAATTAACGAACTTAAATTAGGAGAATTAGTGAAAAGAAGGGAAAATTACGAGAAAGTAGAATATAAAATAAATATAAATAAATTACAGAAGAATAACTAAAATGAAAATAAAAGCAGAATATAAAAAAAAAACAGAAAAAATAATGTATAAAATGTGGAGTAGAATATAAAAATATATTTATATTATTTTTATAGAATCAAAATAAATATATTCAAAAAAAAAGAATATAAAAATATATATATAGAAAATACTGAGAATAAATTAGCAAAAAACACATAAATAATATTTTGTTCACTGATCAATTTTCCACTCAACAAATGTTGATTTAACACACAGTTTAAGGTAAACAAAACCTTTTGGTTGGCAAAGAGGAGCCCTGGACTGCTGTGGACCATTGCCACACAACACTCGTGCCACGAAGTAAACGGATGACAGGGTGAAACCTATTGCCACATATTGTGTGACAATAAATGCTCCCTGTCCCGATTGTCAAATCATGCACACAGAAACACAGAAATCGAAACAGAAGGGATAGATACTCGTGTGTAGCTAATGCTGTCCATCCCCGAGGGTGTCCTTGGCATCGCCTTTGGCAATATAAAGTGGCCATAATATGGTTGAGCTCGTGTCTTTTTACGACTCGAATGTGAACGATTATGGCGGTGTGTGGAGGTGTGTTAACGCATCCTCTCTGTGCTCTCCCCACCCATCGGCCATCTGGCGTCAGAGCCAGAAAAATGCAATATCTATATGTGCCAGAGCCAGAGAAACTTGCACGCAGAACAGCTGCCATATCTTGTCAGATTTCCCTGTCTGAGGTGAACATGACAGGCCCAGCCATGACGACGTCGTCGTCGTCGTCGTCGATGCCTGCAGGACGTGCCAAGGATAACGCCAACCGAAAACCCTATCCGACATTACCACAGTGGCTGTTCCAGGGGGGATGCACTTTAAATAGAGGGGGGAGGAATATTCAGGGGAAGGCGGACTGATGGGAGGAGTAATAGGAGGAGTTGTTGGTCAGTTAACAAATCCAATCAACGCTGCGTATACTTGATATGCAAACACTTCATCCCCCGCCCCCCGAACCAACCCCACACGAAGGAAAACTTTCGCCGTTACGCCATTGCTTTCTCCCCCTCTCTCTGCTGTGTTGCTTCCGCCAAATTAGTTTGGCAAACATCAAACAGAAGCAGAAGCAGACGCCCAATAAAAGCAACAAGCGCCAGCGAACCAACTAACAAAAAAGGAAATATTTATATACTCCACATATGAGGGAGAGGGATGTGAGGGGGAATAATTCAATTCAAGCAGAAGCTGCAATTCTGAAACCTCTTCTGGTAAAAAGTTTCCAAAAACTGTGGCATTTTCTTTCCCTATTCTGGCCGTACAAATCATTGATTGAACCATCAAATACTCGTGTGTTTTTGTCATTGATTTCGAGACATAAATATTGTATGTAGTCGTATGTATTGTGTGTACACTTCTAAAGAACCACTAAAAAAAAAACATACAATTTGAGTTTCAGTGAGCAAAGATTTTCGGCATAATCCTTGAGGCCCAACCAGCTGGAAAATGTGTTATTTTATGCCAAAAGGCAATTTCGTTAGGCAATTTCACACAAACTTTTACTGCACTGGCAGGAAGGAAATTTAAAATATTCCCCATAATCTGAGCAACCTTAAACACACAAAATGATCAAAGGAACCGAGAGTGTCCTTTAACCAGATTAGACTCAGACTCCCGTTTGCACACAGAAAGCCTCCGGGCCTGCAGGCCTCTCAGCTGTAGGTTAAAGATACAATAATACCATGTCTGTCTGGCATTAAATCGACTTAATGGGAAATAATTACATTTTGATGTTTTAATTGAATTGATGGCAGGACTTGGGTGCGACAGAAACGTGTCTGAGTAATCTATTGGCATATTAATGTTCATCAGTATTTCATTAATTAACGTGAAATTATAGTGAAAATGATTCTCCTCCAGCAGCACAGATGTTCAAGAATAATCCGCTTTTCCCCTAGTAACGAATAAGATCTCTTTAAACCAGCATCATAAAGATGGCCAGGCCAGGCCAGGCCAGGCCAGGCCCCCCTACTGAATTGCGCAATTCTCTGTTTATCTTGTGAAATGTCTGCCCCTCGGGATGAGCCTTATCTAAGTGTTGGAGAGCCCCCCGATTTATCTTTAGGGTGTAATTTGTAACTTTGGGGCTGGTCTGTTGCCTTTTGCTGAATTGCATAAAGACATGGCCTGGCATTCGGTTTGAGTTGCTGTCACGCGAAAGACACACAAAAATGACAAAGATCCTGCAGAATTCCCTGCTGCAGCCAAGGACGCGCTACCAGGTGTTGGCCACGATGATCGGTGAGTGGAGGAATCGCATCGATTGTCCCCAATGTCTAATGTCTACTGTGTACAGTGAACATCATAACATTCGGCCATGGCCTGGGCGTGGGCTGGCTCTCGCCGACCCTGTCGAAAATCCAATCGCCGAGCTCCCCGCTGGACTTTGAGGTGAACATCGACGAGGTATCCTGGCTGGGCTCCATGATCGGTCTGGGCAGCTTGTGCGCCAATCTGACCATAGCCCTGCTCCTGGAACGAGCGGGCAGAAAGTTCTGCATTTACCTTCTGGCCGTGCCCTATGCGGTTCGTAGTCCTCTCGATTGTGGGGTTCCCCTAACAGAGATTCGGTCCCTCTTTGCAGTGCCTCTGGATACTCGTTTACTTTGCCTCGAATGTTGGCTTTCTGTATGCCGCGCGATTCCTGTGCGGATTCACTGGAGGCGCGGCATTTGTGGTGTTTCCCATTTACATCAGCGAACTGGCGGATACCAGGTATTTCAGATACCCCCCACTACGGAAGCTATAACTCTCTCTTTGTCTTTCGTCTACAGCATTCGAGGTGCTCTGTGTTCTTTGGTGATGCTGTCCTACAACTTTGGCGTGCTGGCTGGCTTTGTATTGAGCACATATTTGCCTTATCATGTGGTACCCATGCTGGGCATTTGTCTGCCGATTGCTTACTTTTTGGCCAATCTAAAGCTACCCGAAACGGCGCCATATCTCCTGAGGCAGGGCCAGCTGAGTGCTGCCGAGATATCGTTTGATTATTACAAAAATCCAACAGACCGCAAAGCCAAACAGACAACCAAGTGCGATTTTGACGAGCTTCGAACAGCAGTCCTGGCCCAGCAGTGCCAGAACTCGGAGCCTCTGAGTTACAAGGACCTGAGTAAGCAAACAGTTGGTGGGGGGGGCACTTTCGTATATTAAATCTCCCTTGGATTTCCTGCAGTTACCAGACCCGCCCTGAAGGCCTTTGGGGCAGCTGCTGTCCTCTGCCTGGGACTCGAGTGCTGTAACGTGTACAGCTTCATCAACTACATGTCCGATACCTTTGCCTCGTCCGGACTGGCCCTGGACGCCAACACTTCAACGATCATCATTGGGATAGTGCAAATATTCGGCGTCTATACATCGACCCTGATCGTGGACATTGTGGGACGACGACTGCTCATGCTGATCTCAAATCTGGGCGTGGGGCTGGGATGCATTGCCTTCGGCTGCTTCACCTACTGTGCGGAGCAGTACGATCTCACGGCTTTCAATTGGCTGCCATTGGTGCTGATGATCGTCATCATTTATTTGGCAAACATTGGCCTAATCGCCCTCTTCTTCCTCCAGCTGGTGGAACTGTTTCCAGCCAAGGTAATACTTTCAATCCGACTCGATTATGGTTTTTATATAGTTTGTGTCCCTATTCAGATACGCTCGCTGGCCACCTCCATATCGGTGGTGTGGATGAGTATCTTGATCTTTGCCACTTTGAAGCTCTTTCCTCTGATGATGTTCCACTGGGGCATATCGGTCACCATGTGGTTCTCCGGCGCCTGGTCTTTGTTCACATTTATTTATCTACTATTTTTCTTGCCAGAAACTATGGGCAAGTCCATGATTGAAGATTAAGATTTCTACATTTATGCCCCTCTTTACAGCGATTATTATCTGCGAATTATACGATTTGTGATAGCGAAGATTACGTTTAAATCCCCCAAAGTCTGAGCTACCTAAATCGTATAATTTCTCGAATGCAAATAGTACTATCCATGTCTACTAGATTGCAGAAAAGCTTGGCAATCAGCTCAATTTTTATAGCCAGAATGAGGCAAAAGTTTACAGCTCTTTTCAGTTTGAACACCTGACTTTCGCACAGCATTAATGATAGAGCAGCAGTCTTTTCGGGGCACACTTTTAGGATCTATAGACAGGTAGAATCATTACTCAACAACTATTACTCTTTATCATTATTATAGCCAGAATGAGGCAATAAAGGTTCCAATCTCCTGTCATATGGCTGTCTTTTCGGGGCATACTTTTATGATCTATAGACAGGTAGCCTATATAGAAGCTGAGTCTTAAAACATTGTAAATTTGAGCAACCTCACAACTCGTGCACACAAAATCCTAATTATTCTCCACCTATGTATGTGCTCTTGGCAAATAGTTTATGATTTTCGCATTGAATTTAATAATATTCTGCAAATATTTTCCCCAATTCAATTACAGTTTGCAACAACAAAACTGAATTACGAGAGAAAACTTGCACTTGCACTTGCACAGAAAACCGAATCATAAAGTTTTGTGTAAATTTTCACAGGCGAAAATGCTGTTGGCCGTATAAATATTGGTCTTGGCCAAGTTGTCCGTTCGTTTTGGCCAGTCTGCGCTGTCTGTGCTGTCTGTGTCCTGTCCTGTCCTGTCTCTCTGTTGCTGCAACATATTGCATTTTAATGGGAATTTCATTTTCATTGTCAACACTTGTGTGAATTATGAAGGTGTGGCGGGGGGGGGAGTCCCAGCGTCAAGGATAAGTGGGCGAGGATACTCGCTCCCGCCTGGCACACAGTCGTAAATTCTGGCTCAAGATTAAAGCTCCTTGGGATGGTAGAGTGCCGCTGCCATTGGCAGCCACACAGGACATTTGACACTTTTCCGGCTTAATGAGGCACGAAGCTCCCATCTTAGACCCGTATCTGGTCTGACTTGGTCTGACTTGGGCTCCATGGGTTGCTCTCTGGGTGGGTGTCTGGCTGCCTGGCTCTATTGTCTTCTGGCCGCACATTTGCGGACGACGTGTGTCAACGCATTGTGCGGTGTAAATTGCTTGCTTCTATCAACCTTCCACCACCTAGCCCTCCCCTCCCCCACATAGTACTCCTGTCTTCTGTCTCCTTCTGTGCCCTCCGCTCGTCTCCTCCCCCCTGCTCGACGGGGCTAACCAATGCAGCACTTGTAAGCCACTCCCTCCATCGCTGCCATGCCATCGTTGACAAGTTGTGTGCATAAATTGCAACTGCCTCAGACCGTATACAAAACATGTGAAGGATGCGACTGCTGCTGCTGCTGCTTTTTCTCCTACTTCTGTAGGTATGTATGTATGCACCTCCATGGTGGTGCTCCTGACTATGCATGAGACAGACAGGCGTATCCTTGACGCTTTCGGATTTTATTTGCTGGCTTAATAAAGGCATCAGCCACCGGCAGAAGAACCCACCGTCCTGAAGTTGCAATCCCAGCCCCATCCTGCCATCCTGCCATCCTGCCGCCCCTTGTTAGTCTTGTATGCCTGTCTGTGGGTTTTGTGGTGCACTTGCTTCCGGTTTGGCAATGTTGCATGATGCAGCGCTTAAATTGCTGCCACAATTACACATGTCGCCGTGTGTCCATGCCAGTGTCTGTATTTTTGTGACTCCTGCAGGGTCAATGCTGCCTTGACAGCCACACAACCAGCCACAGAACCAGCCCGCACTTCAGCTTTAAAGATGAACCTATTTTCGGTGAAAACCAGCAGATTCTTTGCGAGACATACTAGGAGGAACTCCACTATGGAGGAACTTCAAGCCGCTGACAGCAGGAGCAGGTGAGAGAGAGCCTGGAGAGCCTCTTACTGCAGGGGAATCGTCTAAGAACCTCAAGAAATTGGTTTTGTACGATAAGCACATGGGCGATGATTTCTACCAAGATATGGCCTCGTTTGTGGCGGGGACGCGGTTGGGTAAGGAACAGCATCTGGAGTATAATGGAAGTCCTGGTCTATATCTGGTACCCATGGTTTTATACCAAAGCGGGACGGTATCAGATGCTTCCGACGATCCTCCAAGTCCCAGCAACTGAACGACCTGTACTCCCAGATATAAAAACGTACCAAAAATGTCGAAATAAACTGCTAAAAGGAGAATTTTGTATGTTTTTCCAACTGAGTTACCATCTAACTTAATTAACCCCAGATTTATGCACTGCACCGACCCCACCCCACACCGCACACTGCACACTGCACACCCCCCCTCATAATCCGCTAGTGTGTTCCAAAAAAAAACCCTCCATAATCCTAGTTCTGCCATTGTTTCTGTCTTTTGTTGATAATTACTTTTGATAACTTCGTACTCTCTCGCTCTCTCTCTCTCTTCTCCCTGCAGCGCACCGCACCGCACACCGCATTCTCTCAGTATCGCTTACAGCTGTTTGCCCTGCTGTTGCTCCTTTCGCTCTCATGCATATGAGGGTCTTTAGGGGCCCCTGCCGCCCCCCCTACATACAGCCTTCTGGGGCTGCTGCTAAGTGCTTTGTGAGCCTTGAGGTAGGTCGAGTAAAAAACTGCAAAACCAAAAAAAAACGTGCACAAGCAAAATAAAATTAAATGCTATGAATAATGCAATTAACGTTGACTAAAGTCGGAACGTGAGACCATGAAACATTATCCCGCGTAAAAGAGACGAAAGAACAAGTTTTTTGTTCAGCTCCTGCAAGTGTTTCCCGATTTAAAGTGGATACAAAGTTGGAGCAATTAAGTGGCATTACTTTTTCTACACTTAAACATGTGGCATACATTTTGTCACAGCTCCAGTAATCTATTTATATTAATTTAAACTGGTTTTATATAAAATTTCTTTTACAAAAAATAAAGTGAATCTAAAACTGGCCAAACCTGCCTTGAGATATGTATCTGGAAGCTTCCATTTGTTCCCATTTCTTTATGGGTGCAGGGATTGCATGTATTTTCAGTACATATGTACATACATATATATTTACAAACACATGCGTATGGTTGTCTGTGTAGAAGGAAGTGCTTGGGAAAATATTTGCTACACATATTTTAATGTTTACTCTGTCCCGTTCTCCAGTTCTCTTGCTCTCTTCACCCAGCACCTTGCTCTCCTTACATTCAAGAGATATGTTATTCAGTGGGTATGGTACCAAAAACTATTCAAATTATATTTTAATTCCTAAATTACATAGCGAATTATAGCGTCTGTCTGAGATATTTTGCATCAAAAACTTTCGTTTGCAGTGCTTTACTATTTGCACGAGCTTGTGTGGCCTTACCCACTAATATTAATTTACCTTGGCGCTTTGCGTTCGTTTCTTTGTAGGCAAATGTGTGCGTGTGTGTTGTGTGTCTGTGTTCGTGCATAATTCGAGCCTCTGCTGCTGCTCTTCCTGTCTTTTTTTTCGCACATTTTCTCTTATTGCATTCCTTTCGAGCGCACGCACCCGGCGACGCCGACATCAAGCTTCTTATATTCCTCTTCTAAATGTCAGCAGTCAAATATAAGTATGTATATTATGTATATGTATGCATAAGTATAAGTATACATACGTTTTGCGGGTTACTTTTGCCGAGTTGTCCTTGAAATTTGTGCGTATATACAGTGTCTGCTGCCAAGTGCGAGGACAGCTGTTAAAGCTGGAAATTTATGCGATGGCTTATAAATCGGATTTATTTCCAGATGAAAACAAGTGATTCACTGGCTCCACTGAGGAAATGCTTCAAAACGCGTATTAATATTACTTGGCTTCAAGCAGTGCGCGTAATAATAATTAATGTACATTAATTATATGCTATTCTACATTAGCCGTGGCAGTCCATCATCTCCACTTGAGATGGTAACAAAACAAAACGATCCCCCCTCCATAAATACTTATCCCACTAAATCCGATTAATTGATGAATCTTCAATGGATTATTAAGTCCCATTATGCGTATCGATCGACAATGCCCAAAATGCAAATCGAAAGGTCATTGAATCGCCCATATAGAGAAGAAAACAACAAAAAACAAAGACTAAATAGTGGCCAAAGGCGAACGCGACTCGCCCTCACAGACATCATTTGTATGACTGGGTCATCATCGTCTCCAAACTCCAATAAATAATTAACAAATTTTGATTGAAAATGTCAAATATCCATAGCCATAGCCCTGAGCTAAATCCAAGAGCCGGCCAACCCACAGCAGACAGGCCCGAAAAACAAAATAAAAAGCACATTTGCATAAGAGCGGCCGATAAAAGAGAGCGCCCCAAAGCAATTTGTCAACGTAAACGCCCAAGAGAGTCCCGCTCTCCCACTCCCATTGCGGGTCGGGGTGTTAACATGCAAATGTCCGTCGGAAGAGTGGAAGGCAGGCAGTGGAAGCAGGAGATGGGGTGATGGTGATGGTGATGGTGATAGGAGCGTGCTAATTTGTGAAGAAAGAGGAAGGAAGGAAGGGCGGAGGCAGAGTCCAAATAGAGTCGTAAATATGGCAAATGTTTGAAGCTTCCTGCCCCCTCCTCTCTGTCGCTGCGCTATTGGCCATCATTAAGGCAACAAAGTATAATTATAAAATTATCGGTAAACCAAGCCAACGTCGCACCGATGATGGGGCGTTGCGTGTGTGAGACGAAGACTACATGGCTACATCGAGTTGATGCGGTCTCTCACCTTGAGCTTTTTATATTGATTTCAATTTCAGGCAAAACATAAGCAAAAACCAACAAGAAAGTGGGCTCTCGCATACCCTATACGATGTTTGTATACCCTTTCTACGCATAGTACCAAGTATTTTTAAGGGGATTATTTATGGACAAGTCTTCATTTTATTTAAGTTCTTTATTAAATATTGTGCCAAAAAAAACCCACCCTCTGGCAGGGTATAACAACAACTACAACAAAAAGCCGCTTGTCTTCCATCTCCGAGAGACGCCTGGATATTATCTCAAACGAAATTGGTGCCACTGCAACGTTGCGTTGCGGCGTTGAAATAACACACATAAAAGAAAAATAAGTTTACTAAACTGTTATTACATCTACAATACAATACTACAAAGACTACCCATATGCTCCCTCCAGTGAAAGGGGCAGCGGCAGCGGCAGAGGCAGAGGCAGAGTCGATCGGCAGGTGGGTGAATGGAGGGAAGCTCCGTGGTGGCTCTGGATGGGGAAACGAATCGAAAGTGGAACGAACGGATGTACAACAAATAAACCAAGCACTCGGACAGTGGGCCAGAGTCGGTTGGGCATGCCCAAATCGGTCCGTCCTAC